GAAAATATTTGGGGGGCTTGCACAAATTTTCAGGCCTAAAATGTGGATTATAACATGTTCAAAAAAGGAAAACAAGGCCTCGGTCCTTGAGGGGTTCATGAGCGGGTACGGCGGACCCATTTGACAGTTGACAATCCATCGGTTAGAAGAGAGCTTGATTTTGGAGGTACCTGCTGATACTTGGAGGAGAGCAGCAGACTTGGCGGTGCACGCACAGCTAGCTCAGCAGGCGAGGGGCAAGGAACAAGCTCTCCATTTTGTTCTCCCGAACTGGAAACGGCCATACTCGTGAGGAATGAACTTGGAGGTGGAAGGAGGAAACGGGGGACATTGCAAAATGGGTGAAGGACCTTTCAGACGGGGTTCTTGCCCAACCCGAGATGGATGTCCTTGCTAAAGGGTTGAATTTGGCAATCACACCCAGAACCATCCCATGTTATCTCGGCCACCGAGGCCTCGATCCACAGTAACAAAGTGCCACAGGCTGAACAACTTCGCCTAAAAGTGTCTTCAGACCTGGCGGGGCCAAACCACCTCCGTCACACCTGACTACAGAACACAGGAGGGCTGTCACATCCCTGAAGAAAGACAAGAGCATCACCATCCGGCCTGCTGATGAAGGAAGATGCACAATTGTACTACGATGATAAGGTGACGGCACTTCGGAATGATGACAACACATATGAAGCACGAAGAAGGGACCCAACCAGTGGTTACAAGAAGAAAGCTATAGATCTACTACAACAAAGCCATTGGTCGGGCTATGCATCATCACCTCTGCCCCTCCGTGTATATAAGGACTTCCAAAGATACTTATGGTTGGGACCCCTCTCAGGCCAATTATCAGCAGCATCAACTCTGTGACTTATAACATGGCCAAATACTGAGCCAGAGTCCTCGCCCCCTTTGGTTCGAAATACACAACACCACATACAGAACTCTCAGGATTTCACAACCAAAATCCAGAACTTAATATTGGGCAGAGAAGAAACAATGGTGTCCTATGATATCACATGCCTCTTCACCGGCATATCCACAACAGAGGCAACTGGAACAGTGAGGAAACGCTTGCTACTAGACAACACCCCGAGGCAGCAGAACAGAACTTAACCCGGATCAAGTGGGACCTTGGCCTGAGTATAGAGTTCTACTGAAAGGCAACAGCAATACGGAAGAGCCCAATTTCCATCAGCAGAAGGGGGGTGTATGGAGAGAAGGATTCCGTTATGAGGGAAACCTCCAGATATCATGCTTCTAATCCCCGTACTACTGACCAGAGCAATCACTGTGACAAGGATGGGACTGATCACATGACACGGACATACTCTGTAAGCTCCTGATGATGGGAATGTGAAATTATGGAGCCCATCACTGTGACCATGAGGAGGATAGCCAAGGTGGTGGCGATGGGAATATTCTATGTGACATTTGAATGTGGCTCCATGTATCCTCAGAATATCTGCTCACACATGTGGAACTTGACCTTCTGTACTCTCCATCTCACTAATACATCACCAATAGATGACTCTCTATGATCTGAGCTCATTCCCATCACCAATGGAGGACTCTCTATGAACCAAGCTCATTCCCATCACCAATGGAGGACTCTCTATGAACCAAGCTCATTCTCATCACTAATGGAGGACTCTCTATGAACTGAGGTCATTCCCATCACTAATGGAGGACTCTCTATGACCTGAGCTCATTCCCATCACCAATGGAGGACTCTCTATGAACCGAGCTCATTCCCATCACCAATGGAGGACTCTCTATGAACCGAGCTCATTCCCATCACCAATGGAGGACTCTCTATGAACCGAGCTCATTCCCATCACCAATGGAGGACTCTCTATGAACCGAGCTCATTCCCATCACCAATGGAGGACTCTCTATGAACCGAGCTCATTCCCATCACCAATGGAGGACTCTCTATGAACCGAGCTCATTCCCATCACCAATGGAGGACTCTCTATGAACCGAGCTCATTCCCATCACCAATGGAGGACTCTCTATGAACCGAGCTCATTCCCATCACCAATGGAGGACTCTCTATGAACCGAGCTCATTCCCATCACCAATGGAGGACTCTCTATGAACCGAGCTCATTCCCATCACCAATGGAGGACTCTCTATGAACCGAGCTCATTCCCATCACCAATGGAGGACTCTCTATGAACCGAGCTCATTCCCATCACCAATGGAGGACTCTCTATGAACCGAGCTCATTCCCATCACCAATGGAGGACTCTCTATGAACCGAGCTCATTCCCATCACCAATGGAGGACTCTCTATGAACCGAGCTCATTCCCATCACCAATGGAGGACTCTCTATGAACCGAGCTCATTCCCATCACCAATGGAGGACTCTCTATGAACCGAGCTCATTCCCATCACCAATGGAGGACTCTCTATGAACCGAGCTCATTCCCATCACCAATGGAGGACTCTCTATGAACCGAGCTCATTCCCATCACCAATGGAGGACTCTCTATGAACCGAGCTCATTCCCATCACCAATGGAGGACTCTCTATGAACCGAGCTCATTCCCATCACCAATGGAGGACTCTCTATGAACCGAGCTCATTCCCATCACCAATGGAGGACTCTCTATGAACCGAGCTCATTCCCATCACCAATGGAGGACTCTCTATGAACCGAGCTCATTCCCATCACCAATGGAGGACTCTCTATGAACCGAGCTCATTCCCATCACCAATGGAGGACTCTCTATGAACCGAGCTCATTCCCATCACCAATGGAGGACTCTCTATGAACCGAGCTCATTCCCATCACCAATGGAGGACTCTCTATGAACCGAGCTCATTCCCATCACCAATGGAGGACTCTCTATGAACCGAGCTCATTCCCATCACCAATGGAGGACTCTCTATGAACCGAGCTCATTCCCATCACCAATGGAGGACTCTCTATGAACCGAGCTCATTCCCATCACCAATGGAGGACTCTCTATGAACCGAGCTCATTCCCATCACCAATGGAGGACTCTCTATGAACCGAGCTCATTCCCATCACCAATGGAGGACTCTCTATGAACCGAGCTCATTCCCATCACCAATGGAGGACTCTCTATGAACCGAGCTCATTCCCATCACCAATGGAGGACTCTCTATGAACCGAGCTCATTCCCATCACCAATGGAGGACTCTCTATGAACCGAGCTCATTCCCATCACCAATGGAGGACTCTCTATGAACCGAGCTCATTCCCATCACCAATGGAGGACTCTCTATGAACCGAGCTCATTCCCATCACCAATGGAGGACTCTCTATGAACCGAGCTCATTCCCATCACCAATGGAGGACTCTCTATGAACCGAGCTCATTCCCATCACCAATGGAGGACTCTCTATGAACCGAGCTCATTCCCATCACCAATGGAGGACTCTCTATGAACCGAGCTCATTCCCATCACCAATGGAGGACTCTCTATGAACCGAGCTCATTCCCATCACCAATGGAGGACTCTCTATGAACCGAGCTCATTCCCATCACCAATGGAGGACTCTCTATGAACCGAGCTCATTCCCATCACCAATGGAGGACTCTCTATGAACCGAGCTCATTCCCATCACCAATGGAGGACTCTCTATGAACCGAGCTCATTCCCATCACCAATGGAGGACTCTCTATGAACCGAGCTCATTCCCATCACCAATGGAGGACTCTCTATGAACCGAGCTCATTCCCATCACCAATGGAGGACTCTCTATGAACCGAGCTCATTCCCATCACCAATGGAGGACTCTCTATGAACCGAGCTCATTCCCATCACCAATGGAGGACTCTCTATGAACCGAGCTCATTCCCATCACCAATGGAGGACTCTCTATGAACCGAGCTCATTCCCATCACCAATGGAGGACTCTCTATGAACCGAGCTCATTCCCATCACCAATGGAGGACTCTCTATGAACCGAGCTCATTCCCATCACCAATGGAGGACTCTCTATGAACCAAGCTCATTCTCATCACTAATGGAGGACTCTCTATGAACTGAGGTCATTCCCATCACTAATGGAGGACTCTCTATGACCTGAGCTCATTCCCATCACCAGACATCTAAGAATTAGGGACATAAGTAAAAAAAAAGATTGTCGCGCCATCTTCTTTATTTTAAAAAATTAGAGTAAGTGATGAAAATAAAATAAAATGAATCTGGAAATAAAATCAGAACTTGTATAACCAAAATAAAAATAAATTAAATTTATGGATAATTATAAATTGACTGAAACATCTTTTTTTAGTAAAAAAAAATAATGACAAACAACAGCCGATATCTAGACATAAAAATGTTCTTTGCTATAAGACAACTTCTGATTGGTTTGGATGTTCCGGCATTTTGTTGCCTTCGTATTGCTGCCATCGCTTGTCTGTTGCCTGTGTATTGTCATGGTAGTCGGTGGGTAACCCGTCTTTGTTGCCCGCCTCCTTCTCACAGTTGCCAGCGTGTCCTCAGAATCAGAAAAGAGCTCCAAAACACGCCTCAGGAGTCCAAAGCTTTAATAATTAACATTTTCCACCATAACAAGAAAGCAGCCAATGTGTTTCGGGGCCAAATTACCCCCCTTCATCAGGGCTTCAGCAACAGTGTCAAAGAGCTTAGCCCCTAGGGGTATTAAAGATGATAATTTGGAGTCAGCCATGTGAGGTGAACAACGGAGTCTCACCTAAAAAAGAAGAAGCCAGTAGAGGACTCAAACTCCACATGGGACGGAAATGTCACAGCTGCCAAAATGTTCCCCTTTGACAACTAATTTTATGAATTTGTATCGTCTGAACTGTTGTCACCATACATTTGTCGACAGGTCTGCAGGTATGTGTGCGCTGATGTGTAATGAGATTTCCTTCAGGCGTACGACATTTCCCGCACACTAAACATTATAAGTGGCTCCTTTCCTGGTGTCCCTCAAGGCTTCTTTTCCGAGTGAAAGGTTTTCCGCAGTTGGAACATGAAAACGGGTGTTAGCCAGTGTGGACTCTCTGGTGGTTAAGAAAGTCTCCTTCTTGATTGAAACATTTCCCACACTGTAAACATGAGAAGGGCCGTTCATCAGTGTGAATTTTCTGGTGTCTAAGAAGGTTTCCTTTGACAGTGAAAGATTTCCCGCACTCTGGGCATGGGTAAGGTTTATCACCGGTGTGAATTTTCTGGTGTGCAACCAATTTTTTTTTCTCAATGAAACATTTCCCACAATATGAACATGAAAAAGGATGTTCACTTGTGTGAGTTCTCTGGTGTTTAATAAGGTCTCGTCTATCAACAAAACATTTCTCGCATTCTGGACATGAATAAGGAAGTTCCCCTGTGTGGATTCTTTGGTGTCTTTGGAGTACTTTTTTCTCAGGAAAACTTTTTCCACACTCTGTGCATCGATAGGGACGTTCACCAGTGTGGCCTCTGTGATGTCTTAGAAGGCTGGCCTTCTGACTGAAACATTTTCCGCACTCTGAGCATGAATAAGGACGCTCACCCGTGTGAATTCGCTGGTGTGTAAGGAGGTTTCCTCTGTGAGTAAAACTTTTCCCACACTCCAAACATGAAAAAGGACACTCACCTGTGTGACTTCTTTGGTGTAAAAGAAAGTGATGTTTGTTGGCTGAACATTTCCCGCATTCTGAACATGAAAAAGTTCGCTCACCTGGGGACCTTTGATGCTGTTTAGATGGTGCTCTATTTTTAGGGTGAGATTTCTCACGATCTAAAGATGACAATGAACTCTCTCCTGTGTGACCTCCATCAGGTAAAGAAGACTCCTCGGGTTTAGATGGATCTTTTGATCTCTTCATACTGTGAGATCTCAGATGGAGGTCTGAAGTCATAGTCTGTGATTGCTCAGAAGATTCCTCTGGACTAGATGGATCTATTGATGTCTCTGAATGGGAAGGTCTGTGATGTCTATTATGAGTAATGGGATTCACTCCTGGAGAACGTTGTGTGATGTCATCATCTTCTGTCTTCACAACTAGAGGTAATATTGGATCTCCCTCCGAGGAATTCAGAACAAAACGTCCATCTGTAAGAAAGTACATTTTATATAACAATGAATAAGATTTTTAAGCTTTGTATTCAGAAGTCACAAATGTTGGTGGAGCACTAAGGAGATCCTCAGAGCCCTGCCATGGAATTGTGTGCAATCATCACACCGAGCTATGACCCCAATCCAGATAAAGGATCCAACACACCCAAACCTCACCGAGGACCAGAACTTCTACATTTATGACACTGTAACTGTGAGAATGGAGATGGACCTTCCCCCACCTCAATTCTAGGAGGCCTACTGAAGATCAGAGATGGATCTTTATATGGTGTACAGTATCTCCTCCTCATTTGTTGGTCACATGACGTTATATTGAGGAATGGAGATGGACCTTCATATGGTGTACAGTATCTCCTCCTCATTTGTTGGTCACATGGCGTTATATTGAGGAATGGAGATGGACCTTCATATGGTGTACAGTATCTCCTCCTCATTTGTTGGTCACATGACGTTATATTGAGGGATGGAGATGGACCTTCTTATGGTGTCCAGTATCTCATTTGTTGGTCACATGACGTTATATTGAGGAATGGAGATGGACCTTCATATGGTGTACAGTATCTCCTCCTCATTTGTTGGTCACATGACGTTATATTGAGGAATGGAGATGGACCTTCATATGGTGTACAGTATCTCCTCCTCATTTGTTGGTCACATGACGTTATATTGAGGAATGGAGATGGACCTTCATATGGTGTACAGTATCTCCTCCTCATTTGTAGGTCACATGACGTTATATTGAGGGATGGAGATGGACCTTTCATATGGTGTACAGTGTCTCCTCCTCATTTGTTGGGATCTTCAAGTGCGTCCCTGGACATCACTGAAGGCTGTCCAATAATATTCAGTGTACAATTAAAGGGAGAGAGGATAACCTCTGTGTACGGAAAGGATCATTTTCTGTGAGAGCTGTAAAAATGTTAAATAGTCTTCCACGGGAACTTGGTCTACCTGACATAACATATTACCTTAAAAAATTATGGGAAGTGTTTTTAAATCCAAAAATATACTTTGCCATGCCTCCAATGTAGGGTTGAGATGGTTCTACGGTACTGCTATTCTTTAATTTTGTCTTGGGCTCCTACCTCATATAAGTATATGTAGTTGTTTATCGGTACTTTGAATGCTACAAGACTTCCATCCTTCACTCAGAGAGGAAGGACACAGATTCATCCGGGGAAACCCAGACTCCACTTTGAGGTGTGCAAGTGAAGGAGGAATATCTGCAGCAGGCCAACCACCATCAATTATGGAGAACTACATTCTCATTAGAGGCAGCATTAGTGTCAAGGCCTGGACGTTGCCAGTACCATTCACCTGCCACACACTTCAGCAGTCACTGTGTATTCATACATTCTATGTGTTCATGCTTTAGGTTTCCTTTCCATAATCATCTCACCCTCCTCAGTAGACTGCCGAGCTCCCCTCACAAACATCTCTTCTTCCTCTTTAAACTCAACTTTGATGTCTTTTAGCTCTTCACCCTAAACCCCAAAGATGATAGAATACGTTTATAAAAAGGAACAAGAGATTACACAGAAGAATGTCATTTCATAGATTCGTATACATTTTTAAATCTACATGCTTCATCCCACCTACCTGATCATGGTGGGGGACGGTGAGATCTTCCTGGGTGGGATCCCGGGAATACAGGGGGCGGGGACATCTCTCATGGTGAGGGAGGGTGAGATCTTCCTGGGTGGAATCCCGGGAATACAGAGGACGGGGACATCTCTCTGGTGGGTTCCTCTTACTGGATCCATCTGTAGGAAACACACACACTGACTGAATACATTGTTTCTATGTGTGTATCAGATGATGGGGCATGTAGGCGGAGCCTCCGTACTGCTCTCTCCTCTTACCCGGTGATGTGAGGGGCGGCTCATTCTCCATCACCACGTCCTTGTAGAGATCCCGGTGTCCTTCTAGATACTCCCACTCCTCCGTGGAGAGATAGACAGAGACATCCTGACACCTTATAGGAACCTGACACACACAATGATACAGTCACCACCCAGACACACCCCTTGTCTGTTCCTGGATCATGTCCCAGAATTCCCGGCACCGCTCACCTCTCCCGTCAGCACCTCCATCATCTTCTTGGTGACTTTGAGAATCGTCATTTGCCTCTCAGATGTCAGGCATTGAGGTGGAGGCTCTGTGATGGGTGAAGCCTCATGAAGACATCTGTTGGGTGTTAGTGGATCACCAGACATTTTTTTTACTACTTTATAATCCTGAAAGAGAGAAAATAATCACTAATAGAGATCAGAGTGATGTCATGTGACCTCCCAGAATCCTCCTCACCTCTCCGGTCAGCAGGTAGATGATCTCCAGGGTGAGGTTCAGTATCCTCTCAGTCACTTGGCTTTGGTCTTTGTCCATGCTTCTTGATTTGGTCATGTGATCTATAGAAAACACTCCTCTATCTATTGACTCCATCAATGAATAATAAGCTGATCATTATTTGCATAATATTAGGAGGAAGACGTCTCCACAACGTTCATAGTTCTCACTGGTCTCTCAAGGACTTCTTGTTATACTCTGTTACAGGTCTCATTTTTCAACGATCTGAAAGAAAACCAGAGATTAGCTTAACTGCAACTTGAACCCAAACACCTTTTTTTAGGTTTGGCTAGAAGGGTCAGACAGTTGTTATATTTAGGATGTATCGGGTCTATAAATGGCGGCTCTGGATGGACGGTTGGATAAATGGCTCTATATTTAGGATGTATCCGATCTATAAATGGCAGCTCTGGATGGACAGTTGGATAAATGGCTCTATATTTAGGATGTCTCCGGTCTATAAATGGCGGCTCTGGATGGACAGTTGGATAAATGGCTCTATATTTAGGATGTATCCGATCTATAAATGGCGGCTCTGGATGGACAGTTGGATAAATGCCGGAGATAAAAGATGTCACAGTGACTATGGAGGACGGACATGACGGGTGGTGGGGTGTATTACTGGGTGTAAACATAAAATAATATCCTATTACCTCCTCTGCTGCTGGTTGCAATAATATCTCCCCTGTAGTTCCTCCAATCTTTCCTCTCCAGGAAATTCTTGACTTTCTTTGGTATCACTTCCTGTCTTTGCGTTCCACTGACAATAAGTGAGATCACCACCTTGTGGAGAAAATAGAATCTGCAGCTCAGATTTTTAAATACTTTGCTTCAGTTTTGTTGCTTATATTACACAAACATTAGAAAGAAACAAAAGACAAGGCATGTCAAGTCCACGTATCTAGGAATGGGAGACTGGGCCGTTTTGAGCATAAACCGGACCAAGGTTCTTTTTTTTTATTGACAGGGTGGATCCAACGTAAGGTGGAACAAACAAGACCATGGGTCTAGAGGGACTTGAATGTCACACACTTGCTGAATAATGTTAGTAACCGAAGCCCAAAAGGGTTCTATTAAGTAGCATTTCCAGCAAAGGTGCCTGGAGATCCACAAGATTGGAGTGGAGAGCCGTGCGTAGGATGGGTTGCATGCAATTTAACTGGAACATTATACCACCGGCAAAGCAATTTTCAATTGACCTCCAACATAGAAACATCAATGGAGGAGGAAGTAGCCAAGTTTGTTTCATCAGGATTATGTTTAGGAATTCCGATTTCCACTTACCCAGGTAAGAGGGAGGAGACCAACTCTCGCGTTTAACGAATTGCGTTGTGAAAATATCAAAGGCAGTGGGAAGGAGTGGTTCTGGAACCCAGTATGGATTCAAATGGCGTCAATGCACCAGGTGGTCTCAAAGGTTTTGGCAGGGAATGAACAAAGAGTCTTTCTTTTGATGTTACACGAGAGATTTGGTGTTATGAGAGCTGCTAACTGCCCTGCGCAGCTGCCATTTGTCGGTCCTTTAGAGGGAGTCTTTCAGGCAGCCCCTAAGCCAGTTAGGAAGGACTAGGAGGGCATTGGGAAGGAGTAGTTCTGGAACCCAGTAAGGATTCAAATGGCGTCAATGCACCAGGTGGTCTCAAAGGTTTTGGCAAATAATGAACAAAGAGCCTTTCTTTTGATGTTACACGAGAGCTTTGGTGTTATGAGAGCTGCTAACTGCCCTGCGCAGCTGCTTTTTGTCATTCCTTTAGAGGGCCTCTCTGAGCCAGCCCCGAAGCCAGTTAGGAAGGACTAGGGGTGGTGAGTAGGAGGGCAATGGGAAGGAGTAGTTCTGGAACCCAGTAAGGATTCAATTAACGTCAATGCACCAGGTGGTCTCAAAGGTTTTGGCAAATAATGAACAAAGAGCCTTTCTTTTGATGTTACACGAGAGCTTTGGTGTTATGGGAGCTGCTGACTGCCCTGCGCAGCTGCTTTTTGTCGGTCCTTTAGAGGGCGTCTCTGAGCCAGCCCCCAAGCCAATTAGGAAGGACTAGGGAGAGTGAGTAGGAGGGCTAAGCATTTTATGATCCTCTCCTTAGCCCCTGCCAACTTTTAATTTAAATAAACATATAGTATTTTCATAGTATAGCCCCGTATGTGCAGATTTCGATTGAAGAGACGCAGCCATATATAGGGTTCATTTTAGTATATCTCCCTCAGATTCAAAGTTATGAATAATGGGTCAGATTGTCACCTTCAGTTTATGGCTCAGTGAGATACCAGGCATTCTTTTCTTAGCTGACCAGGCTCCGGTTCCCTTTGGGAAATTTTTGGGCATTGAAGTTTTTGGCGGCATCACAGGCGAACGCAATTTTAAGGCTTGACATCAGGTGTTAACTGGTGACACCACTTGTGGTGACGAGGGAGCATGGAGCCAGCTTCCAGGACACA